TGGGAATATATGAAAGTAAATCAATACTTTTTAGGGTAAACCCCCTCTATAAACAAACACTATTATTAGGATGGAAAAATAGACAAGACTATTTGAAAAATCATAACTAAATAGGACCGAATAGTTTGGTTTGGTCCGTATACCATTAAGAATGGTTTGGTTTGGTTCCTAGTCTGTTTAATTGGATGCAATGATTTCTTGGTCTGGTAAGTTCTAGACTATGATTTATCGGACAAAACTGTGGATCGAACCCACATCTCAATTCATGTTAGCAGGTCACTCGCACCTCCAATTAGGGGTGGCTATACGGTCTGGTCCGGTTAAATTGGCCCAAATTGATCCGGTCCAATCCGGTCTTTTTTAAAATATAAGGACCAAAGATTGGATTGGATACAGTCCGGTCTTAACCCGGTCCGGTCCCAATTCGGACTTGATTTTATATTGAGCTTGTGTGGATTTGAGTGGCCTAAGGCCTGAAAGGGTGAGGAGTTGGTTAAGTTTTGTACTAAGTGCAAAGGTTTGTGACCGTTTATGCAAATTACCCTTAGATTTTCGGTGTTGAGCTCTCTTATCCGGTCTTTATCCAGTTTTCGATCAGGTCTCGAACGATTTTTTTACCTCAAATCTAAGACCAAAAATTGGATTGGATTGTTTACTATCCGGTCCCGGTCCGGTCTCGGTCCGGGTTATACGGTCCGGTTTCGAGTAAAACCAAAAAACCCAGCCCAAATAGCCAGCCCTACCTCCAGCCCATAAAATTTACAAAACTAGCACCATTTTTATCAAACCGCACCTCCAAGGTGCGTTCTATAATTAACCCGTACCTTCTAGGTGCGTTTTATGTATAAACCGCACCTTGGAGGTGCGTTTCGCGCCACGTCAGACTGGGAACCGCACAAGGAAGGTGCGGTCTGTGTTTTCAGCGGCGGACCGCACGGCACCTCAGCGATCCGCGCCATGGATCAAAGACCGCAGCTGCAAGGTGCGGTCAGCGCCTCGAGAAAAGCAGACCGCATGGGGGGTGTGGTTTGTGTGGCAAACCGCACTTTGGGGGTGCAGTTTGTTTTGTAGAAGCAAAACCGCATCCCCAAAGTGCGGTTTTGCTAGGTCAGCACAAGACCCATCTAGGCCATGCGGTTTTGTTAGGTCAGACTAGGGCTGCAAATGAGCCAAGCCGCTCGCGAGCAACTCGGCGTTCGAATCGGGAAAAATTCGTTCGACACTCGACTCGTTATTTAACAAGCTGGCTCGCGAGCCAACTCGTTAGTTAACAAGCCAAGCTTGAGCTAGACCATGCTCAGCTTGATAAGCTCGCGAGCTAGCTTGATTCAGTGGCTTGTTGAGCTAAGCTCACGAGCTGCCTTGTTTAGAGCTTGTGAAAGGATGAATTACTCTTTTAAACATGAACATTGTCTTGTTAATACAAATGTGTATGAAATTTAGATGTTATTTATAGTTTCTAGTGTTATTTCTATCATTTAAATTCTTATGTTTACACATTTTCCAGCAAGAATGATTTTAAATCGAGCTCATCTTGAGCCGAGGCTGTACTCAGCTTGACAAGCTATGTTAATGAGCATTTATCGAGCTCTACCGATTCGAGCTCGAGCTAGATGATTTTTATTCAAGCCGAGCTCGAGCTCGAGCTGGATTATCAAAATTCGAGTTCGAGCCGAGCTCGAGCTAAAAAATTAATAAACGAGCCGAGCTCAAGCTAAGCAAAAACTCGACTCGACTCGGCTCGTTTGCAGCCCTAGGTCAGACACACAAACCGCATGGCCAAGATGCGGTTTTGGCCCAGAATGCTAGACCGCACCTTGGGCGTACGGTTTACATACAAACTGCACCAGGAGGTGCGATTCACAATCAACTGGGTGCTGTTTTTATAAAAAAATTAAAGGTGTTATTTCTGGAAAAATTCCACAACTTAGCTACTTTGTGAGCAAGTGCTATTTTTATATTATCTCCCAAACTTACCTCTTACACTAGATCATGTTTCATGAACTTATATTGAGATATCACACGAGATTATAACTATATTGTAAAAAATAATTAACAATAATTAAGCATAGAATTGTAGAATATCCACACAAACATAAATGTAATAAATTAAAGGTTTAATACACTTGTATATCCAAAAATTTTACGGTTGTGCCAATAATATCCAAATTTCCTGAAATACCACTTATATCCATGTTTTAAAGTTGTTATTTGCCAAATCTATCCATTTCCCAATATATTTTTGGTTAAATACACTTGTATATCCAAAAACACAGTTAAAGAATGTGAAGGAATTGGATATAAGTGGTATTTCGGAAAATTTGGATATTATTGACACAACCGTGAAAGTTTTGGATATACAAGTGTATTTAACCTAAATTAAACTAATATTTTAAATGAAAAAAGGAATTCACCGGCAATCATTCTTTCGGTAAATTTGACTACAGCAATTTCTATTGTTATTTGGACTAAAGAGTACAGATATGTTTTAAGATTTTCGGTTGTTAGCGCGATGGGTAAAATTAAATGTAATAAATTAAACTAATATTTTAAATGAAAAAAGGAATTCACCGGCAATCATTCTTTCGGTAAATTTGACTACAGCAATTTCTATTGTTATTTGGACTAAAGAGTACAGTTATGTTTTACGTGTGGTTTGGATGTGCAAATGTAATGCAATAATTGGGTTAAAAACCCATATTTGGGAGAGCAAAAATTGTATGGAAATTGGACCATGGAAATTGGCTTCAATTACCACATTCATGGTAATTGAGAATACTACACCTCCCCCTAGTAATTTGACATTACCGCGTTTTCTTACTTCTTTTTCCAAATTCCACACCATCAATTCCCACAAAACTAAACCCTATCCAAACGTGAACTTTCTTTTCAATTTTCATAAGTCAATTCCTTGATTTTGTAAAACATGGAAATTCAGACAAATTTCAACGTTTTAAAATTTCCACATCCAAACGATCAATTAAGATTTTCGGTTGTTAGCGCGATGGGTACAATGATAGTTTAATCCCACTAGATTCGGGGACCAGTTACGGTAACAACACCCATTGTGTTGTTATTGTAACAACACTAGTCTCCAACCAATAGGAAGCTAGGGTTGTGATGACTTTTTATTAGATGAGTTGACCTAGTGTCAAATCAAAGCAGGGGTATAATTGTCATTATGAAAAATATGTTTAAATAATAATAAAAAAATAAAAAAAATAGAAAAATAGAAAAATAAAAATAATTTTTTATTTTTCGGCCCAAAATTTTGGTCGCCGGAATTTGGTCGCCGGTCACCGGAATATGCTTTTTTGTCGCCGGAATATGCTATGTTGTCATCGGAATATGCCACCGTCGCCGGAATATGCTTACCGGCGTCGGAATCTAGTCATCGGGGCCGGAATATGCCTATCGGCGCCGGAATCTACTCACTGACGGTCATCGGAGTTTGGTCAACGATTTTCGTTGACCGGTCAACGGTCTTCGTTGACCGGTCAACGACCAACGACCACCGGATGTTGTGGTCTGCATTGTGAGATTTATGGTTTGGTTTCTCATATTTTTGTATGCCTTTTGTGGTTTGCTTTATCGTGTTTGTGGTTTGCATTAAGAAGTTTCTGGTTTGCTTTATCGTGTTTGTGGTTTGCATTGAGAAGTTTCTGGTTTGCTTTCAAAAAAATTGTGGTCTGCATTGAGGGGTTTGTGGTTTGTTTTAGGAGATTTGTGGTATGCATTAGGAGGTTTCTGGTTTGTTTTTGTGGTTTGCTTTAACGTGTTTGTGGTTTGCATTATGAGGTTTCTGGTGTGCTTTCGCAAATGTTGTGGTTTGCATTGTGGGGTTTCTGGTTTGTTTTAGGGGATTTGTGGTATGAATTAGAAGGTTTCTAGTTTGCATTAAGAAGTTTCTGGTGTGCTTTCAAAACTTTTGTGGTTTGCTTTGCAAGGTTTCTGGTTTGTTTTAATATATTTGTAGTTTGCTTTGCGAGGTTTCTGGTTTTTTTTAATAGATTTTTTGTTTGCATTAGGACGTTTCTGGTTTGTTTTTGTGGTTTGCTTTATCGTATTTGTGGTTTGCATTATGAGGTTTCTGATGTACTTTTGAAAATTATGTGGTTTGCTTTGTGAGATTTCTGGTTTGTTTTAGGGAATTTGTGGTCTGCATAAGAAGATTTTTGGTATGTATTAGGAGGTTTCTGGTGTGCTTTAAAAATAAGTGTGGTTTGCTTCGTGGGGTTTCTGGTATGTTTTAGGCGATAAGTGGCCTGTATTAAAAAGTTTCTGGCACGCTTTAGAAATAATTATGGTATGCTTTATGACATTTCTGTTACGTTTCAAGAGATTTTTTGTTTGCATTCGACGATTTTTGGCGTGCATTCCAATGAACTTGAGGATCGGAACTCATAAAAATATGCCCACTTTCAATGATTTCAATTTGATAGAAATAAGATTGATGCTCCAAAAACACAATTGCATCTCAAAAGCTACATAGAACAAACCACAAAACAACACTATCACTTCCCAAATCTACTCTACGAAAGCTTCCAATGTGGTGACTCTACAATCTCATAGAGAGGGTCATTAGAAAAAGGAGAAGACCAGCGGTGAGATACAGATAGCATTTTTGGAGTGCTAATGCATACATCCATGTGCATAACAGTGTAGGCTAACATAGTTATCTGATTATTCAAAGTAAAGTAATTTGAACATGAACTTAGTGTGATGATCTCCCACATCGGTTTTGCTATCACTGGTCTCTTGCTTGATGAAACTCGTCCCGTAGCTGAGCTGCTGGCTCCCATCGGAGTTGGAACTTGCAGCTGGCTCCTGCAGATGCTTCGCCGTGAGCAATTTCTGCAAGGTCTGCAGACAATCAACAGCTTTTGTATCAGGATTTCAATAAGCAAAAAACTATCATCACAATCCCAAGATCCCAACGAGAAAGAGCCAACTCGAGTACATTACCGAGATCGGCTGAGATCAATGCCTCTCTAGAGTAATTAGGCCCAGCAAGAACAGTTCCTGAAGGCGAGATCGGCTGAGATCAATGCCTCTCCAGAGTAATTAGGCCCAGCAAGAACAGTTCCTGAAGGTGATATGATAACACTCCCACCCTTGCACACAACAGAATCTGGCTCCAGTTCTTCTTCGATCCCGGTAAACAGATACTCCAGTGGAGGTGGGTAATCTTTCCTTCGACAGAATTGGTTCGCCGACAGTACAAAACAACCGCCCTCGACTGCAATGTGTGCCATTGTTGCTTGCCATGAATCCCAGTCGTCGGCAGTAGGTGCACAATATATCTCAATTCCTAAACACCACGTAACAAAATTGTTCTCAACCCATAATAGCTCATCAATCACCATAGACAATTCAAGACAATTCAAGACAATCCAGTTCTGGTAGGCACAAACTTCTGCTAGCTTAAATCATCATCAGCAACTGGTTGAGCCTAACTCCAAATTAACAAAGGAAGAACAAACCTTTGGAGTACATTGCAGTTCTTAGAAGGGGCATTCTGTTCTCCCAACAAATCACAGCACCAAGCTTCCCCAACGGAGTATCGAAAACCGGCATCTCCCAACAAATCACAGTAGATACCACCACTTCCAAACACCAATAAGTTGCTGCTGCTGTTGTAATTGTCTATGGTCGTCCTTTCATGATCCATTTCGGTGTATACCACCGACTAGCTCCCCAACCCGTTACCTCCTTATCGTTCCTCTTCTTTCCCTGTGGAGCATCAAGTCCCACCGTAGACTAGGTCTCTCGTCCCCTCATACGACCTCTCTCTCTATATCAGCTCATCGCCCTTTGAGCTTCATCGCCACCGCAAGCTTCTCTTTTCCTCAAATGCGACCTGACTCCAGTCCCATGCACGGACTTCCCTCACTCTCACTGCCGTCCCGCCTCAAAACCATCGATCCCGTGCTTTCATCTCCTCCGTCTTCTTTCCCGAATGCAAAAAGCCTTTCTATTGCAAGGCGAAGAGCCATCCTCCTTGGGTCCACCGCATTGGTGGCGGATTCTTTGTTCGCCTCTTTAGGTTCCGCTTCAGTCTCCGCCGCCATTGCTGGACAACTCCAAGCGGAAGAGCTCGAACAAGAAGAAGATCGAACTGTCCGCCTATTGGAGGTTATTAATAACGCCCTCAATCGTCGCCGCCGCCACACATGGGAGGGAAGATGCGAGACGGAACTCGGCCATGGGATGTCGGCAAACTGAAGGCTCGTTTGGAGGATTGATCGGCGCCGGAAGCAGGAAAAACGACTTGGATGGAGGTAATTGAGGGGTGGAGGAGAAGATTGCTGGTCGAAGTTCGGATCGGCGCTGGCGCCAGTGAAGTTACAATGAGGAGGAACGGAAGAAAGTCAGATGCGGGTGGGAAGGAACGAAGGAGAAGAAGGGTTTCAGATAATTAATTTAAATTTAATTTGTTACTTATTGTCTGTTTACGATTTTGCCCTTAATGAATATTGTTGTTACTATAACAACATTATATGTGTTGTTATTCTATCTTATCCCCTAGATTCGAGGGTTATAATTTTCAAAGCATCAATCAATGGTAGGATCTATACATTTTGACTGGTTATGTTACATTAGCCTTGATCGCGGGAGACAAGAACGATTCATGCTAACATACATTGAAATTTCAAAGGGTCTTAATTTTGCGATTTGTTATTCAATCATAGAGAAAAAAATTATTCTGCATAATTTTTGGATATCTTTGAAGCCAATGGCAGTTGTGATTGTCAAAAAAATGTCATTTGCTACTCCAAACAGACCATTATGTGCTACAAAATTAGGTCGTTGCAATTTTTTTAATTTTGAAAAACTTTTCAAGGAGTACTATCTTTTACAAGTGAGAAATTTCTAAAAGAGGTGACGTTTTTGGATTTAAGAAGTTCAGAGAATAACTTTTAGATTCAATTTTCACTTTTCGCATATATTTTGAAAACTTCCATAAAAAAATTATATTCATTGAAAAATTACGTAAAATAAACAAAAACTGCGATGATCGAATTGCGAAGCACCAAATTACCAGTGAATGAAATTTGGCGAATCACAAAATGACTGTTTGCGACTTCGAAAATTTCGAAAAGTTGGAGCATAATAAAAAAATTCACTACAATCGAATAAAAGAGTACAAAGTTATGATTTTGAAGTTCAACATACATACGTTAGGTGTAGATCAGTAGAGTGTCCATCGATTGTGTGGTTTAGATTGCTAGAGTACGTCTACCGCGATCTACCGCTTCTGCCAAAAAATGGACGAAGAGGCTCTTCGTGTAGGTTTTTTTTTGTGTTTTTATTTTTAATCGAAACAATTTGATTTTGTGGTTATTTTTTTATCAAACGGTGAACATTAGGTAGTTGTGACCTAATTTTCACCTACCAGGTTCGGGAAACGTGAGAAATAATCACCGTCATAGCCTGAGGCGGTGAATAAGTTCCCCGCTTTTCACCGCTTTTAACTTAAACGGTGATGAATTCACCGTTTTTGTTAAACGCGGTGAACATTCACCGCTTTCTACAAAGACGGTGAACACCTCACCGTTTTATTTTAAAACGGTGATATGTTCACCGTGTTTGACAAAGGCGGTGATTATATTCACTGCGTTTGTCTAAAACGGTGAATGCCAAACATGTGTAGTTTTGAAAAAAATTATAACTTATGTATTTTGTGATTTTGTTTTAAAAACTAGTGAACTTTGGGATTTTTTCCAACAATCTATCTATCCACCGTTCATTTTTTCTTTTTTCAAACCAATGAAGCAAGATTTGTTGTGGGTCATTTTGGAAGCCAAATTTGCATCCACGTGTGATCACTACCTCTCTTTACACATTGTTACGGATTGTCGTGTACTAATATTAATTTTTCTGGGTTGATATTGATTTCCATGTAATTGTATTGGTTTAAATTAGACGAAGACCGAAAAAGCATAAGAATTAAGGACAGATGGGATCGGTCAAAAGAAGCATAAGGATCAGTGGTCATTGACATTCATAAAAGGCATCTACCTTACCATTATAGTTTCTGAAAGATCCCCTGTTGTAATGGGAAGGTACGTACCTTATGCGAGTTTCTTGACTAAAGAAAAAACTATTAGTCAATAGCCACAAAGACCAGACGCCTGGTCTGACGTTAGTCCAAAACATGCATGCACCACCACCAGCTTCTTTTCAAAATGAAAATTCATCTTCGAAAATAATCATATCTCGTCGGTAGTAATGGAGTTAAGTATAGTTTAGGAGGGTGATAAATTTTACTTTTTTTATTAAGATATTACTTAATGGATTCAAATTTGAGACGTACCGGTTTTTTTTTTATTTGGAGACATACAGGGTTTAAATTAGTGATATTACCACTAACCAACCTTGGTTGTTATCATGTGCATATTTATGCGGGTCCAAGTCTCCAAGTATCTTTTCTCGTTAGATCTCTTTTGTTTTTATTATTATATTTTGTTTTTGGTAAACGTTTTTATTAATATATATATTAACAATATGGAGAAATCAAAATTGATGGCCGACTCAATTTTTGAATTCGTAAGCCCCAACAGCCAACGGATGGTGATAAAGCGAATTTTTGAAATATTTGTAACTTCTTTTCTCTTATTCTTATAAATCTTATTCAATTAATTACCAGCAAGGTTGAAAATATTTAGGTTTCCATTTTCCAATAAAATAAAAAGGCTGCCAAGTCATATGTAGGGACATGGGATTATGGGAAGGTAATCAAAGCTGCCAAGTCTACGCTTATTTGCTAATTGCTGCTAATTTAACCAGAGTGGCGCCAGAATTTCGGTATTAAGGGCAGAAATGTTTTTTGTTTATTAGCGAAATATAAAGAAATAAAAATGATGATATAGTTACATAAAGAAGACTTATGTTAATTATGAAACTGCATACGATATGTTCAATATAATTGAGTGAACTATCGTACTATATATTAACGAAAAGTTAATCATTCATTTCAATTTGTAGTATGTCATTCAATATTAATATATGTAAAATAAAATTATTTTTATGTATAAAAAATAATTTTAAATATAATTTTTTAAATAGAAAGCTTAACTAATCAAGTCTAGAGTTAAATGACTAAGAAAAGGATAGAATTTAACTAATCTGGGTGTACGTTTTTAATCAACACGAATAGCTAACAGAAGATCTGTATTGGCTTTTGGGTCGTTCATACACCCTGCTTATTTCGATCTATATTCGGCAAATTTGGAAAACTTCTCGTTAATTTCTCTCTTGACATGACCTATTGAACCCTTTGTTGAACTCCCATGACTCATATGTTGAGCAATACGATGCTTCAACTGTGAGGTTTGCAAACCCTTACCATCTCCCACATCCTTTAGCTTTGCTAACAAATGAAAAGCTTTGACGCGAGAAGCATCTAAAAAGACAGACTCTTTTGCTCGATTGCCAACTCTGTTGATTTGTTCATTTATTCGAGAAAAATCAGTATGCTTTGATTCCTCATTCTCCCAAGCCTCCCTAATATGGGCTTCAACATGGGCAATATCAGATAGTTATCATAAATGGTCACAAACCTATTCACTTTGTACAAAATGGTCACAATCCCTTAATTTTGCACGTTTCGGTAAAAAAGGGTTGAGCAAATAACGAAATGGTCACCCCGTCCAAAACTTCGTCCCAGATCGCCACGTTAGTGTAAAAATAATAATAAAAATGTCTTAGTTAGCCCACTCAACCCGAGACTCCAACCAGTCCAAACAACCCTTTACCCACACTCATAGCCTGATACGCACCCCCTATAAGAATAGAAACCTTACCTTTCACCTTCATTAATCATCCTCTGTGTCCCCCTTCCCCTTCCCCTTCCCCTTCATTTGAACGAAAAAACCCTAAAATCCCATATCCAAAATCAACATAAGAAAAAGAAGACTCAGGCCGAAATGGGTTCCCTGCCTAGCTACTTGCAAGTGTGAAGACAGAGTTGTTTTGCTAACATCATGGACGGAAGATAATCCGGGTAGAAGGTTCCTCCGCTGTAAGAGAAATTATTTGGTAAGGATTTTGAATTTGATTATGATTTCTGTGTTCACCATAAGAAGTTTTGGTAAACATTCTCTTCTCTTTCATTTTATGAAGAAATTATCCCACCACTATGATTTTTTTGAATGAGTCGACCTTCTAGTAGAAGATAGGGCCAGAGCAGTCATAAATGTGTTGTGGAAGAAGATTAAGAACATGGAAATAAGATCAAGGGAAGAGAGCATGTTGAATGAGACAAATTATTTTTCATCGACGACACACAACGATGAACAAACTAGAAGGGGCAACCAAAGTGAAGATCTGTATGCACGAAAAATTAATCTAGTTTATGTAGTTGTTTGTGTGATTGTAGGAATCGTTATTGGTAGATATGTGTAGTGTAGAACATGAAATCCTCCTGTAATTCTGTTTCTGTAATTATGTTTCTGTTTTGTTCAATTTTCAATGTAATTTTGTTTCTGGTTTGTTCGAACTAAGTTTGCAACGTTATCTGTTATGGTAATTGACTCGCTAAAACACAACTCCTAATAGTGCGAAGTGTAACCAAT